AATTGATTTCATGGCTTAAAAAGAGCAGCTTAGTTAGTTGTATGAAGTAGGATACCACACACACACCCACACACGCCCACCACCCACACACACACATATATATATATATATATATATATATATATATATATATATATATATATATATATATATATATATATATATAAAGAAATGGGTAAGGACCAAACTCTGACAAAGAAAATCTTGTCAATGACCAATTTACAAAAGAATCAGGAGCCATCACATTTGGCGTGACACGTCTTTACTTGTTGAATAGACTGCCACGTGTATACACTTAGGAGATTTCTTTTTTATTTTAAACCTTAATAAGGGAGCAGTCATCTCTCTCCCCCAGTACAGTCTTTCCTAAACTGAGGTGAGGTAAAAAGATTAGAGCAAAATCTGAAGCAGTGCCAACTTACTACAAGTGGTATAATTGGCCTCAGGGGTAGTTTTTGGACCTGAAACCCTCCATTCACGTCCCTCATGACTAATTCACAAGACCTTGATTTTTCCTTTGGCATCTGAAGATATAGCCTTCAAGCTGCACAAATGTTTGTATGGGTTTAAGTACACTGCCAGTTTAGTTCCATGAGATTTTCAAAGAGGGACCTCTGTTATCCTTCGCGAGTTTTGATGTAATCAGTGTTATGCATTATCTTTCTGTTTCTTCATTGACAGCTGTCTGCAGTAGGTTTAATAAAACCATATGCCATATTTGCTTGGAAATAGATGGGCTAGTAAGGTCAGCCTATCTCAACATTTGATTCCATTTAGTTGCGACATTAATGTGAAAAGCAGAAAGGTGAAAAGCAAAAACTGTTCCATGAGAGTTATGGGAGAACATATTTGTCCTATGCTATTTTCAAACCTATCAAAGTCATTGAAGAGAGTTTCGTCTGAAAAGGCACAGAGCGGAGTTTGGTTGATATTGAGTTATGTAAGATCCAAGAGAGACTTTTACTTTGGATTTATTCTGCTGTCAGGTAAGGAAAAAAAAAGTTTCTGTGTGTATGTGTGCTAGTAAATTTATAGGTGTGTGTGTATTATGTGTATATTTTCCTGTGCATTTCTACCCATGTGTGACCATACTGTAGGTGTGTATCGCCGTAGCCTTCTTCCCAGTCAATACACTCACTGTCACACACTGGCAAGTAATTGACAGCTTGGAGTTTGCAGTGACACAGGACTTGCATATATTTTCTCCATTACCATCCGTATACGTCAGCCTGAAGTTCTCCTCGGCAGTGCTTTCAGAAGTCATCTTGCTTGGCAGAGGATTAAACGAACACCCTCTATTCTACCTTTTGGGGGGAAGTGATAAACTCTCTCACCCTAAGTAAGCCAAATAGCTGAAAAGAAGACTTTCCATTTCTCTGCTGTGGTGTGTACAGGGAATAAAAACAAACAAACAAAAAAAAAACAGTTGCAGCATTTGTTCTTTTTGCCACAACAAAATGTAAAGACCTGGATAAATAGTGTTTTATTCTTCTGCTAATAAGTAAATAACAGCTTAGTATGGGATTAAATGAATTCTTGTAAATGTAAATGGTGGTGATGGAGTCAGATGTGCAGGTATCCCATGGCATGCTACTTAAAAGAAACTAATGTAGAAGAACAAATCCATTTTTGTTGTTGTTTTCCTATGTAGGCTCCCAGTCCACACTGAGTTGGTGATAATATTACATGTTTAAGTTGCTTTGCCAAGCAACAATACATCCAAAAAACTAAGAAAAAAGCCAATATAAGTTGAGAATTGATACAGTAAAGTGGGTTAATTTGACACGAATAGATAATTTCTTTTCAAAAACATTTTGAGCACAATATTTTGATGTAATTGAAATACCTTGATCACAATAAAGCAGACTCATACAAGAAGACTAAGAATACAATTATTTTCTAAAAAAGATTGCTTGTCAGACTGACTGATAACACTTAGTGATATATATTACAGCAGGATTTGGAGAAATGCTAACAAAGGGACAAACGAGATTTGCAACTGGCTAATAATGCCAAAGCACAAAAATTGCAGATTTCTATCTGTGTTAAATTTTCATTTTTTGATCAGCCTAAAACACAGGAGTTCAGCACTGACCAAGGCTTACTTGCAAAACAGTTGCTTTCTCTTTTCTACTTTGGAAAAGACACTAAAAAGCAGCATTTTCAATACTTCAAAGATATTATGACTACCAAATAAGAAAAGCATGAAAACTGCAATACATGGATTACAGGGAAACATTGACTAATTTATCATCAACTGAATAAAGGCAATTTGCAGCTTTTGTCAGTTTTCTGGAACTGCCTTGACTCGTTTCACGTAGCAAACATTTAGTTACTGAGATTTTGTCCATGGCTGAAGAATTTTGGGCCAAGGGATTTGAAAAAAGTACCTGCAACATGTACAATGATGTCTTTGTTGTCAAATCAAGACCTTAAATAATTATGCCAGAAACATGTTCTCTCACAAGAAAAAAAAAGAAAAGCCACAATTTAAATGCTAGCTTTGAAATGATTTACACCTATGGTGGAAACAAAAGCTGTGTAAGATGTGATAATTAATTGATCTGTTGAAACAAAAAAAAATCACAACAGATGTTGTTTACAACATTTTCAGGCATAGGATTTCTACAAGAGGAAAAGTTAGAAATCCAGAGATAAATCTATAACAACCTAGAAAACAAGACGCAAAATTAAAGAAAACTCCAAAACTACCAAAACTCAAACTCTCAGCAAATATAGAAAATAGAAATTGCAAACTACATAGTGTATTTTCTTCCCCATAGTTGAATGCTTTATGTGGAATTATAATGTTGTTTTTAAATTCTCAAGCATAGAAATTTATATTAAGGAATGTGGTATGAAGGAGGATAGCATACATGCCACTTTGTGAAAATACAATTAGGCCTACACCAAAATTTATCAAATTAATTAGCCACCACTTTTTATTACGTGAAACTAACGTTACACTTATTTCTGCCTTTGTAATTTGAAAAATTGATAATTACAGGCAGATATATTAGACAGTGACATTTTGCTGAAGTCTCAGTAACAATAAGCACATTTATTTATAAGCATTTTCAAAGAAAGTTATGCTTCACTTTGTCTTCCCCTCTCTTCTCTTTACTGGGTTCCTGCTTTCCTACAAATCGTTAGTTTCACTTTTCATTAGGCTGAATCAATAAGGCGGATCAGTGGCTGATGGTTTGGACTGCGTGGCAGACGCCCCGCTTGGTCTCCCCTTCTCTTTTTTTAAATTTTTTTCTCTTGTTCTCTTTGCTCCTTCTTGGACTCCAGCTATTTCCTCTGCAACCATTCAGTCGAGGAGAATGTATGAGGCAGCAGGAAGCTTGAAGGGACTAACAAAGAGGGATGAGCCTAAAAGTGCTACCTAGTAAGACAGAAATGACAGCCCACAGTGGTAACCCACTAAAGAAAAATTAAGACTAGGTGAGCTCTCAAAGTAATTTTGAAAATGAAGACATGAGACAAGGAAATTAGAATGAAACTGTACAAATAGAGCCAAAAGTCCCGTCTACAGCATTTTACCAACTAAATAATTTTCTTTGTCTTTGTTGATTTTATGCTTAATCTTGTAATCTTGTAAACTCAAATTGTCCCCAGGAGACTTGTTCCTGGTTTGGTCATGAGCAGTCATGTACATCTAGGGAAGTATTGTGGTGTATTTTGGAGGTGCCTGCATTAGTGACATTTCTCTAGTTTGCTACGGTGAAGAGCCCAATGAGCCAAAAAGCATAGCTCTCCATTTACAGATCCGTAATTTTGACCTGAGCAATTCATAATCTACGATAATTGCTCAAAGCATTTAGATCATAAATGAGACCCTGAAAGCAAGCGGTTGAAACAAGCTTCCTCTCCCGTAACTGTGCTCTGCCTTAAAGCTTAATTGAAGAGCTCTGTTTTCCAGTGGGATCTCCGGGTTTAGACTTTGCTAGGTACCTCTCTTTGAAGGTTTCCCAGGCTTGTTCCACTGGGAGGAGACCATGGGGCAGATCCAAATCTCACTAGAGGGACTCTAAGGACTTTTTGACAGAATGAACTTTTCCCAGGAGTCAGAGTAGTGTCCAGGGCCATTATTTACACTGACCGTTTACAGTGCATTTACCAGAATACAGGCCAAATACCTGAACAAAAATTTAAACCAGAAAAGGAATATATATTTTTTTATTTATCCTGAACTACTGGTCGTAGTTTTGTGGAGAGGGGATGTTGAGCAATTATGCTTATTTGGAGCATGTCATGCAAGCTTAAATTATATTTAAAACATTTCTAGGTGTTGCAAACTTGCAAAATTTACATGACTAGGACAGAATTTAAATTACTGTAAAAGAACCATGGGTGATTATTCCAGTGTTACAATAATGATTAGAGCTCTTCTATTTTATTCTCCTGTTGCTGAATAAACTAAACTCTTTGGTCTGAAATCCTTTTAAAATTTGTTACAACTACACAATCACTCATTTTCAATGAGTGACTTTATATAGAGTACATAGTGTAAGCACTGTGACCAAACCATTGTTTTTATTTTTATTTTTTTAAAATGTCTTAAATGTTATAATACCTACAGGTACACAACTCATGTCTAGGCTGACCAAAAAAAAAAGCAAAGGTCTAACAGTGAAAGCAGGATATGTGCATTTAAGTAAAGTTGAAATGGGGAATAACAGACCCTCTATTTATTCCTTCTGGCTTAGAAATGCTTTGGAATCTTCCAGAAAGAGCTAAGGAGAAATTCTTGGAATCGTTACCATAAACTTGATCTTGGATTAACAGAAGACAAAGGACGGCTGCAAAATGTTTCTGTCCTGAATAATATATATGAATATATATATATTTTTTAATAATCCTAGAGAGGTATTTTTGGTACCACATAACCTTGAAATCTCTACAAAAACATGGGCTTGCTCAGCTGTGACTGGACGGTGGCTGGCTCTTCCACAGCTGTATTGTTTGATGACTGTGTGTACTTAGTTCTGACTTACCCAGCACAGTGAGCCGGGCAGGACGGGACCTCATGGCAGCCTGGACGGCCTGGCACTCAAACACTGCATCGTCCATTAGCTCGACACGCTGGATGCGCAAATGATGCTCCCCTGAGCCATGGTCGCCAATCACTGTGTAACGTGGATAGCCTGCAATGTAAACAATTTGTTTAGTTTATCTCACCTTCAGTGTCAAAATATAGTTCATCTGCCAAAAGCAAGTGTGTACATTTCTGTATTTGTTTCTTCCTTCTTATTTTCATGTATCAAATGAATTACTCTTTTGCAAACTGTCTTACACAGCACTGGCATAAGCACATTAACTGAGCTGTAAAAGAAGATAATTTTAAGGGAGTCGAGGATAGATTACTTTATTAGTTTATGTGGCTAGATTGTTCATTTCTTAATTTACTCACAATACATTTTTACAACACTCCTGGCAGTGTAAATGAGCTGCTGTGAAAGTTGCTGTTTGCTGAGGAACCATGTTTTACTGCAACAGTAAACAGAACCAGCTCCAGTTCAAGTTGTTTCAAGATTACTGATGATTTACAGTTTAATAAGAGGAGAAGAAAGCAGAGGAATATCCAGGAGACCTAGGATGTCAAGCCAGATGGTTTTGAAGATAACATTCTTAAGCTAATCTAAAAATTTGCATAGCCCATGTGTTGTGAAGTGTATGTCTCCTCAGGGGCAAATAAGTTAAAATACACATTTGTTCAACCTATGAGCACTGGGGGTATATAACATGTTTTCGGAAACTTTCTTCTCTCAGGATCCCTTTTCTATTTCTTTTTATCGAGCTTCTTCATCCTGATTGCTATGGGTAGAATTTGTGGAATGCAAGGACAATTTATGTTCATAAATATTGTACTTCAGAGAATGAGAAGAATTTCCAACTGAGTGGAGCTTTTTCTTCCAGCTGTCTTTCTGTAATTGATTGATGATGTAACCAGAGATTGGAGTGAAGATTTTTTTCTGGAACACAAGGCCAGGCTGCACACAAAGCTTCAACCAAACTTTAAGCTATATTTCGCGAAAAAAAACTTCAGACTTTAGACTCACTTCCTTCTAGCTCATCAATCACACCTAAAAGAAATCTGCTAGTTTCTACCTAGGCGTGTAAGGTTAGACTGATACTTAAGGGCAACAAATAATAAGGGGGTAAAAATTGATTTCTCCGAAACTTCTAACCTACAGTCACCTTGGAGATTCTTCAAAACCCCGAGCCTTTAGTGATTTTCTGTTTTAGCTCCCAGATAGAGTGGGCAGTGGTATAACAGCTATTAAGTTCATGGATGTGTCTACGGCAAAACCCATCATATGCTCTGTGTCCAATTACTGAATTCGGCTTCATTGAATCCAGCAGCTTTTAATAGAGCATGAAGTGGGTCTCATTATAGGCTGGTGGGGTGAGTTACAGCCGATTAAGCCACTCTGTGCATTTCATCCTCCTACGTGAAGCCTTTAATCTTAAGGGTCTATACAGTAAAAATACAAAGGACAAAAGAACGCCTCAACACAAATATTAAACCAAGGGAGAAGGTAAACAGGAGAAGGCAAAAATAAGCGGCAGCATTAGATCGCATGATGTTTTGCTAAGTAATAAGACCAGATGGTGTCATCTTTCTACCATTTCACTTTTACTTGTTAAATTGAAGGAGGCTTTAACGTAAACAAAACTAAATCATAAATTAAACTACTAAAAATCTTAGTAAGGATTAGTCAATGTCGGTTTTTAATTGTATCAAAATGCTTTTAAAATCTATACTTTCAAAACTGCAAACCTTTTGTGATTACAAGCCAGAAATGGTGGCTCTGGCTGACAGGATTGCCATGATGAGTGGCAATCCTGTCTCATTTGTAGCTGACCAACTGGGCTGTATTTGTCTCAGTTAACAACAATTTCTGCTTTTCGAAATAGTGTTAGTCACAGTTATGGTGTGGAAACTAAGGTAGCATCAACCCTAACTTTTCCATAGTTCAAACTTTGATGCACACTAGCAATTTAGTAATTTAAAACCAGTCCACATGAATATTTCATGTCCATGGGCCACAACATTTCTCATTAACTGTCAACACTTTTACAAGAAACCATTGTTAACTTTGTTCCTGGTATCTCAGACATATGTGTTATAAAGCTACAGATAAAGTGAACGAAACTCTCAGCTACATCAATCCAGCTGATCAGCTGCAACTTGCCTACCAAAAGGGGAGTAAACATAAAAATTTTGAGTAAAATATAATAAACTTCTTTCTTCATACGGGTCAAACAGTTGTTGCAAGTTTTCCCAGCAGACTCCCAATCAGCTGATGAGGTAGACTGATACAGCAGTAAGTCGCACCAACAAAAACTTCAAAGTAGTATAAAAAAATTGTCAGTCCTGAAAACAGACTGAAAAATCTTTGCAGTCAACATTGCAAAGATGCAATGATGACTGTCTTTGCAAAAGTGAGTTTAGTAGATCTAAACTTTCATTTTCTCTTGTGAAAGTTTAGATGGTTGATATCTGCTAATATATATTATGAATGTGCACACTTTCAATTTGAGTTGTTTTAAACAGCTAAAGTCATCTAGATGGAGGACTGGGGTGTTGTCTGACCGGATGTTAGCCTCCCACTTCTATGAGGATTAATAACTTTTCTTTAAACTCTTGGTTGTATGACATAGAAGTGCACAAACTGATTCTGATTACTCCATCCAACCTCTTTTAATCTTAAATGAAACTGGTAAGATCATATTATAAAATTGTGTCTTTAATGTTTGTGTAATTTTAACGGCTGGTATTTTTACTCATCGCTACTTAACCATAATGATCCAAAACTAGCCCATGTCTTTGAAGGGTGGACTGCTCTTTCAACCTAACAACAGTACCTGAAGATAAATAAGAGCCATTCCATGCACAAAGTCACCCAGAGAGAGATTTTTGCTCCAGTTTTTATGTTCACTGATGAGATCCAAGGCAGTAATACCACCACGGATCAGAAGGGTAATGATCATTGCAAGACTCTGTATGATGTGAACTTGCACTGACTCTGGCCGAATAGCCTTGAATTAACTGCACCCTCCAAAGAGATGGGGATGAACTTCACACACACTTTGTTTGTCTTGTCTTAACCGTGGCTTCACATAAGCCATGCAGATTTCTGTTACACAAACAGATTACTATGCCAGTTACCTCATCTGTGCTCCTGGCACACTAAGAGTAATATTGCTATGTGAAGACGTGGCCGCCTTCCAGTTTCATCTTGATGCATTAACTGGATCCAAACAGGGAAAAAAAAATAATTATTTGCATCCATGATGGATAGTAAAAGATAAGGATGTTATCATCTCATTTTCAAAGAATTGAAACATCCTAATGTGTTTTGCCACCATATAAGTATCCTGATTATGCATTTTGTCAATGTGATTGAAATTACACAGTGGCACACATGAAGACTGATCACCTCTGCAGATGTGACGTGCACCTAGAAAGGGCCATTGATCTTGGATCTCAGCACATTTCGAACACACAATGTGTTACCAAAGCAAACAATGTAAAATAGTCCCATTAAGGAGTAATGAATCCATCAGGAAGAAATGGATTTGTCTTGAGGGTGAACCAATGTGTATGTGCATGTGGGTTTTCATAAGTATGAAGACACTTGAAGTTTGGCTTGGTGATTCGCATCATTCACCTGCTACCCGCTTTGCACTGTACCTGCTTAACACCAGGGAATCGAAGCAGGTTTTGCTGCAGCTGCAAACATGTGGCCAGTGCTAAGTTTGGTGTCTTGAGAAGAAGGCGTAACACAAAGTTTCTCTGCAGGCATTATCTCTTCAAACATCTAAACAGCCACCTTAATTTTTAAGGGACCTTGCTTATATCTGACAGGTGTGTTATCACCACCATATACAGCAGATACATCTGCATCATGCATATCCATGGCATTGATTGGTATGTTGAGGGCTACTTCACTTTTCATTAATTAGAGTGGAAAAGCATGGCACAAAGGGGGAATGAAGAGGAAATTCAGGGACAGATAGGAATCATTGGCTTTTGTGCTATGATTTCTCGCTCTGAATGGTGAAAGAGTTCTCTCAGTTTAATCACTGCTCCTGTGAATGGAAACAGGTCCCAGGCGGAGGATGCTGCCAACACAGCTTCTTTCTATGAATAGCCGAGCAGACCTATATTATTGAAATGCTCCGTGCGACATTTGATTCGTCGCACTTTTTACATATACAGCTGCCACTTTCCTTTCATTGTGTGCGTCTCCGCAGCGATGTACCATTGCTCTTTTACCGCTGCATGCGTGGCGTGTTTAGGTAGGCAGGAGTGATAAAAAAGGACAGCTGTGGAGTGCTTTATTTTGAAAAAGTGTCATCTGTCTCAATAGAAGGCACTCAGCCCCCTGTCTGTAACATATTGGTGATTTTAGAGAACCTTTCTTCTCTAAGCTGGCGGCTATTTTTCTTCACACAAATCCTTCCCTTTTTTAACTATCCTTATTTTCCTCCTCAATCACTCTTCTGGAGGAGAAAATGGTCGTGGAGAGGACCAAGAATACTTCTTGTCCACGAGTTTTAAGCTATTCACAGATGTTTTATTAAAGGCTGATCTACTGTAGTTCCCTGAAGTGTGAAGACTCAATGTTCTCTTTTTTCAACTTTTTTTGTTCCTTCACCTTACCTTCCCTGCTGTGGAAATGAAATTTCATCTTGATCATTTTGTCTTGTTAAATCAATAAAAGCTGAAGAGGATAAATATCCCTGCTCTACTCTGAGCCTATATAAAATGACACTCTCTCTGTCTCTTTCTCTCTACATTCTCCACTCTCTCTCTTTCCATTCTATCTCAAACAATCATAAGTACTCTCCCTGTCTGCATCTTCTTCCTCCAACGGAGACTTGATGGCTGCAGGACTATTGTTTACAGCCACCTCTCAGTCTTCCTCTGGGGCCTAATAAGGACACGAAGAAAGAATAGGATGGCTTTACTGGGGCTCTGTCAGTCTGAGGTTTAATCACACACCACATCTCTGAAAGAGGACTATTTGCTAAAGGTCAAAGGGTAGAAAACCCTCGATCTCTTTTGCAGCTCATATTTAATCATTCATAACAATGCAGGATATGTTGTATTTCAGAATGGCCACTGCCGAATATTGAATCATTGTGCCTTGAATTGTAATTACATCCAGTGGTTACAATGTGGAGGAGTGTGTGGCAAATTGAAAAGCTCTAAAATGAAAAGGCTGTATTGATAGAATAATGGTAGGGACCGAGTACAGATATAAATGGATAAATGTTTTGGGTGAATTTAATAATCAAGGTGAATATATTCTTCTTCTTCAAAAGGTTGGCATATGACATGAGGATTTCAGCAAGGTCATGAATATTTTCTGCATAAAGCCAGGATTGACGAGCCAACAGGTTGCTAAATAACATCACACTAATCCCTTTGCATCAAATTAAGCAATTAACAAAATTATGCATGAGATATGATGTAATTAGGTGGAGGCCATCTACTTTTCAAAATGTCATTTAGCAGCCTGAAATTCAGCAGCCTGTATTTAGGTACCTCTGACCAGTCTCTGTGTCTGCTGAAGAAAAGCATCCGCACAGCATGATGTGCCACCACCAATCACCATTTCAGTGTGGAGATGGGGTGTTCAGGGTTTTGTGCAACATTAATTTTTGGCCACATATAGGTCTTTTCATGCATGTAAAATTGTTTTTGATCCTATCTGATGAGAGCACCATCTCCTATGAGTTTCTTGTGCCTCCTACATGATTTATGTCAAACAGCAAACAACATTTCTTATAGTTCATCTTTTGTCAATGGCATTTTCTTGCCACTCTCTTCTTGTACAGACTTGTTCATTGATATGTAACGACATTAATGACTACCTTGGTGACAGAATCTGAACACCTGAACTTTATATTGCTGAATAGGCCTGTCACAATAACAAATTTTGCAACAGGCCACGTAATGTTTTTGAAAAAAAATGCTAGTTACATGTCAAGAATGCAGTGTCCAAATGTTAATATTTCATTTCAGAGTCTTATTTGTTGAAATATAACAACAAATGATATATAAGTGCAGGGCAATATGCTGAAAATTAAAAGCATGCAAATCCTTACCAGAGAGGTCTCTGCCAACTCCAAGTGCCAGTCCATCTTTGATCCAGAGGACAATGCCATGATATCCGGGAATAGTGCATGGTAAAGTCACCGGCTGACCTGCCACTACCACCAAGTCCTGGGGCTGCTGGGAAAACATAGCCTCCACCCCTGGACAGAAAAAAGAAGGGATAGCTTAGATCTCATTAGCTTGTAATTTCTAAACTAATCGAGACACGAGGGAAGAGAAAGTTCAAAAACTAGGAGAACAAGTGATGTCTTCAATCTTTCAAATGATGAAGGAAATAGACAAATTTAACAAAAGTGCACAGTGTTCCCATTTCAACCAATTTCAGTCAAACCTCTTGTCAAATGCATGTTGCAGGAACCCTAAAGGGTGCCTTACAAATGTGGCCCATCATTTCACTATTCATGATACAAAGACAAGTTTCTGTAATCATGCAGGAGTGGAGCAGCAGGATTAAAGCGCAGGCTAAGAGACAGCTATCATAGCTCAGCTTGGCTCATTTATGCAGGATGTCACCGTGCAGATGGGTTGGGCCCGTACACACCACAGCAGATAACACAATCTTGTCTGCCAACGCTGCTTCACCAGCATACATTAACTCGAGCTCACACCCATGTATTCCAACTGTGCAGCTGCTATTAACTGTACCGCTCCACAGCGTGTTCAGGCAGAAAGCACTGTGGAGTGAACTCCATTAGAGGTGTGTTAATGGGGAACTGGGTACGGAAACAGTAAAGGGTTGCTTGGTGTACATTTGGTAGCAGAGTGTGTGTAAGTGTGTTTATGCATGAGTGTGTGGGGAGGTGGGCAGTGGGGAGTCAGAATAAAGACACACAGGAATACAGAGGAGTACTGATTTCTACTTTAGAATTCTGCCTATCAACTGAAGCACACGTACAATGACATGCATTCACCCAGACACTTAAAGAGCATATTTTCTATCTAAAGTTGTTTAGCGTGTGCCACGAGTTTATAACCAGCACCTTTGGGAGCGTTCAGCTCTGCATATGAAATTTCAAAATCATGTTGACCTACAAACACAAAAATAGCCTTTTTTCTTTAAAATACTAAGCAAAACATGTGGATGCAGTGAAATTTAGCACAACATTGAAAAGCAAAGACCACCTGATGTTGTTTTGGTGGACAAAACAAGGCATCGATGTGTGAGTATGATTGGCTCTGTTATTTTTATTTTATTTATTTATTTATTTTTATTTATTTAAGCAGGTAAACCCTGTTGAGATCTGGATCTCATTTTGAAGAGGGACCAGGGCAAATCATATTGAATGTGCTTTTAATCTTATGAGCTTTAAAAGATAAACTCTTTTTGATTCTTATTCTTGGAAGGTGAACCACGTAACAGAGAAAACAACCTGACTCCTCTTTATGGCATGACAAATGCACCATAACTGAAGCAACTGAATAAATAGCTGACTGACTGAATGAAAAAGAAACGTGAACATGCTTTTTTTTATCAGTTAAACAGTGTTTAAAAATATCATACGCAGACCACAGTCACATCCTCTTTATCTGTGGCTCAAAACTTCAGACAACCTTGCGATATATATATATATTTTTTTGTTTTGTTTTTTGTTTTTCCTCCAGTGCAACAGCCCTCATAAGTACAATGGCTAGACCTTCAAAACAAAATAAAAAACATTTGATTAAACTTCTTGCTGCAAGAAAGAGTAGTGATAAAAGCAGAAAAAAAATGTTTTTTTTATCCCTTCGGTTTCACCAAATTTATCAATTTCATCATAAATCATTATGAAAAAGCTATCTTATTTTTCAAAATGAAATTCTCACTCAAATATTTAAAAAACTACAGATGTCAAAAGCACAATTTATGCAATTGGAAGCAATTTTTTTCAACCATTCAAATGATACAACCCAAAACAACTGTCAGCAAATCTGAGATAAAAACAAAGATGAAAAACTATCAGCATTTTAAAATGTGGGAAAACATAACTGATTTTTGGCACCTTCTGCATGCTTTTTTTCAATATCCTGCCAACTAAATTATAGGGAGTGTATTAAATCCAACTGCCAGGTTTGACTCAATGGCCAGGATTCAGGAGAGTGAGGCCATAGATCTTTGACAACTAGTGCCCAGCTCTTAAAATGCTGTAAAGAGAACAACAGACATTTAAAAACTGAGCAAAAAGCCATACTCAAAAAGTGGACTAACACTTTGCTTTCCCTAATGTTGTCATTTCACGTTGGATAATTTGTTTACCATCAGACGGCTGCTGCATTTCGACACACTCCATCAGTATTTCCCCCCTCGGTGCTAACTGCCCCCAATTTCATCGCTCTTTGCCAATCAGGCCTCAAAATTGCCGTTACAGACACACACTCAGGCCACTTCAGAAGAATAATCAGCATGCTGTCTGTGCGGCATGTGGCCACACAGCAACAAAGCTTGGCCTGTGATCATTATCAAAAACTATTACCCCTCTGGCCGGAGCAGTTTATACCAGCAATTTAGAAGCATGGGGGGGAAGCGTCACAATATGGAGGAGAGGGTTAGGTGGTGGTGTGTTTTGTTATTTAGGAGCGAAGGACCACAGTTTCTTTGTTTTATTTCATTGCTGCCGGTGGGGTTGAGCTGGTGAGAAAGTTGAAGTATCTGCAAGAAAATTGCTGCAAGTGCATGTGTTTGTGTATGTGGGAGAATTGTCATCTTTCTTACTCAGTGTTGCCATAGGTGACAGGCGTCTTGTTAAAGTTGTGAGTTTATAGGATCTAAATCAAGTTATACTTATAGACTGCACTGAAATGATCACAGGACTTATGGTGAAATGAAAAGCTTTCCCTCCTCCTGCAGGGCCTCCTGGTGGGCTATTTGTTTAAACCACGATAAGGCGGTGTACCCTACACGGAAAAGGAAAGTGGATTATCTGACCATCTGACCAGTTTAACCTTAGTTGCAGGATAAAACTTTCACAATAAGGAGATTGTTTAAAAATAATCTCCTAATCACAAATGTCCTGTTGTACAGAGTATTTTCTTTAAAATTTGGTCCTGAAAGAAAAGTAAACATTTTAGAACATTATGATAACTTACTTTATGAAACAATTTTTAGATTAAAACACATTTCACCCATTCATGGATAAATTATGATCCTTTGTGTCAGGCCTTTTTTCCATTTCTTTTTTTATTTTCTTAAGGCATAAAAAAAGATAGGAAAAAAAATGTAAAAAAAAAATCATGATTTTATTTTTTTAGGTGATCAATTGTAATTTTCTCCAAATACAAAGTTGTTATTTAAAAAATACATTAGTAGTATTCTTCTATAGGGGTTATCTGATGTCACAATATTTGTATTGCCTGCAAGAGTTGTCTATAGTGGAAAGAGGGACAGGGTCTGTTGGCATGCTTTGTTGTCTATTGGCCATATTGGATTTAACAAAAATAATTTATTGCATTTGCAGCTGACGGCCAGTAGTTGATAATGTATTTTATGATGCAGTAGAGTCCACTTCAGTGGTCTATGTGCATTTATAACATAAAAATTCACAAGAAGCACAAGAAAATGGCTTTTAGATAGCTGTCCACTGTAGTGACCACAATGCATGAAAGGGTTAAATAATCCCATTATCGAAACAAAAAGTCTCCACTATGGGTAGTTTGAAAGTGGAGGGAATGAGTCATAATTACTTACAGAATATAGTACTGCCAGCGTTTTCTTTCAATAATAACAACTACTCATTACATAACAAAAGAATATGCATGAGTGTGACTTTGATACACTAATCAATATGGAACATATGTGAAGTATCTTTGATTCTTAGTAGAGAAATTAGTTTGGGAAGTGGCTTAATTAAATATTTCCACATACATATGAAGCAAAATTTAGCTTTGTTATAGATTTTTTACAACAGCTTCCCAAAGGGAAGTAGTGCAATAGTTTGTCAGTTCCAAAGAAGAGAGAAAACTGAAAATAAGAATAGAATTGGGGGAGTAATATTGTTAGTCTTGACACACATACACGTCCTATATGTTTATCAGCAATGTGACCTCAGGCAAAGGTCTGACAAATAGGTACAGATGACTAAATTTTGAATAGACGACAGTCGGTTCAAATCATTCAGACCAGAAGAAAAAAAGAAGAAAAAGATCATACGGTGTATATATATTCACACCAAAGCGCGAGAAAATGAACACAAATTTTAGACACATGTTTTAGAGTCTAATTGACAGTCACTTGCTCTGGACTGTTGGAGGAACTGGTGAGATTCCACACATCCACAAAGATAACAAGCAAACTTGATGTAGAATTTGTCCAGGATTTGAACCTGGACCTCCTTGTTTCAAGGTAACAGTACAATTATAAAAAAAGCAAGGAAGAGAATAATAGATGCCAATATACAAGGGTTTTAATTTATAATTTTAATGAAATATAGAAATACTCAAAAATTAGAAAAATATACATATAGTTTGATCATATATTATTTTGTGAACACCCTATTTCCACTTCTGAACTGGCATTCTAACAGATAAAAAGGGTTTCAATGGGTTTTACCATAGTTATTATTATGAATGTGCTCTCAGATATGTGAATAGTGATTTGGTTTGTTTTGTTATTGGCCAGATACTGCAATAAAATACTCCAATGTACTTTTAAAAAAAAAGCCTGTAACATAAAATCTGATGAAGTATTTGTCCAAGAGTTGATTTAGCCAAATCAGCTCATTTTCTCATCTAAAAAAATGTTATCCCTAAGGTTCAGCCCATGTTAGAAACCAGTCATGAATATTTCATAAAGCTTCAACCAGGCCAATAAAGGGAGGCATGTGTGACTATCAGTCTTATTGTTGTGTCCAAATTCTTCTTTCCCTGCCTGTCCACTTGTAAAACAAACACTATATACAGACTGGTAATATGCTTGGCCCATCAATGCTGTGATGCTTGCCATTATGAGTAAATTTTATCTGTGGGAATGCAAATTTATGAAGGAGGGAAGATAAACATCGGTGCTGCTGGAAGACTGCATTTCTGCCCTCTCTCACACCCGTACATTAACAGAGCATGGCAGTTGCCAGGGCGCAATCACGATGGATAGCCTCCAATGATGGCTTCTAAAAATTACAAATGGCAACAGAGAAAAGGGCCTAGAGGGCATTCTCTTTATCATCAGCAA